TTGGGTCAATCATTTAGTTTTGAGCTATGTGCTTGCTATAGTTTTTTGACATCAAACTTATTTGCACCAATCTATCAACGTATGCTAACATAAAAGAATAATACAAAGTCTAGCGTCCAATCCGTAGATGCAGACACTCGGCAACTTTTTTTAGGCTAGGGTTGAGACATCGGTAGCTTAGATGCACGTGAGTTTATTCTTCTCTCAACAAAAAAAAAAGATGCACGTATTGCTCTACTCTCTCCTTTTGGCTCTGTACATCGTATCGTTGTTACCTTCAAACGAAATTTGAAATTATTTTTTTATTCATAACATATATGTAGGTAGTACGTGGAGACATATTGTACAAAGTTGATGATAACGCTGTCATGACTTTGATCTGTTGGGAGTCCCGGCATCTTGAGCTTTGCATTGGATGTGTTGCTATCCCGCCTTCGATTCACCGGCCCACGTGCCTCCAACGTTGCCACGTATAGATTTGTTGTTGCCATGCGTAAGATCTCGAGGACGTGTGGCGATGCAGTATTCACTGATGTACCTCCGACATTGCCGCGTATAGATGTGTTGCTGTTGCGCCTTTGATCTCCGGGATGTGCGCTGGTGGCGTTGAGTGTTCGACTTTTCGCCAATGTGCATCCGACATTGCCGCGTCTAGATTTGTTGTTGTTATGCCTGCAATCGACGTGTGGCGGCGGCCTCAAGTGTTCGCCGATGTGCTTCCGATATTGCCGTGTACAGATATGTTGTTGCTATATGCGTTCAATCTTCTCCGGGACGTGCCACGGCGGCCTGGAGTGTTCGCCGGGCTGAGGTGTGCAGTTCTCAGCTTACACGTTTGTATTCTTGCTGGAAATCAAGTTGTTTGTGTGTTTTAATAAGAAATACATCAGGTTAGTTGTGCGTGTTCCAGTTAGAAATCAATCAGGCCTCCTTCCTTATTGGACGTATTCTTTACGGAGATCAGTCAATCGTACTATGTTTGACGGGTCGTCTGTTTTGGTCTGGTACATGTACGTCTGTTTTGGTCTTGTACATGTACGTGTAATGCGCGTGGTTCAAACATCTATGCTTTAATTTTCAAAAAAAAACATATATGCTGTAAATCTCCACCGTTGTTTTTTCTTAACTTTAGAACGATTAATCTTAACCGTTCGTTTTCTATCGTTTTAATTATATAATAGATAGATGTCTGATGTCGAGCAAGAACTGCATCACACCTCCACTCACCATTTTTCTCCTTGATCAGTTTTCTCCATGGCATCTGATGAGCAGGAAAAAGAGTTGTCTCGCATAAACAATGGCTTGGTAGCCCGTCAACCCCGCCGGTCACGAGCCGAGGAGTGGCGAGTTGCTCCAGGTCGACACTGATAGGGACCACAGTGGCACGGGCATCATTGCTGCTATTGATGGTGCCATGTTGTACCGCCCCTCCCGTGCCTGTGAGCGCGTCATCCGATGTCAAAGCGCGTGTCACCGCGTCCTGACTACAGAGAAAGAAGCGGGCTGCATGGACATCGACGAGGTGGTGTCCAACACGTCTGCGCTCGCCACAATAGTCGAGGAGAAGCTGTCGCTTGGGTCCCATGAATGCCATATTGAGGTGACACCAGCATACACAGCCGGTGTCTTGCCCTCTGGCAGGCCACCACCGTTCCCAACCCAAAACCAACTCTGACCTATGTAGCGTAGGAACCCTTTCCCATTGGCAGAAGCATCAGTTGGTTGTTCCACTCCGATGAGTGGTAGGGAGGCGAGCTGCTCTTTGCGTTGAAGCATATACCTAGGGCTCACAGCTGCCGGACATGGGGATGACATTGGAGATCCGCTGCAGCCGGCAGTAGACTAGTCAAGGGTATCCATGTCGCCGGAGGATATTCGTCGTCGCCGGCGCCGGCTGTACAGTTTTTAGTTAAAAATATGTCCAAAATGTAAACATTTTTGTCCGGTTTGTATGGAATCCACTGTGTTTGCATGAATTTCATTCGATTTTTTAAAAGAAGTGTTCGAAATATATGCGGACAACGTTGGATGGCCGATTCCTATATCCATATCCACGGACTGATCCCT